CTTCGTGCAATGCAGCAACCCACTTCGTACAATGCAACAACACACTTTGTGCAATACAACAACACACTTTGTGCAATGCAACAACACACTTTGTGCAATGCAACTACACACTCCGTGCAATGCACACACACCCTCCATGCAATGCACACACCCTTCGTGCAATGCAACTGCAAATCTCTCACGCAATGCAATGCAATTGCAGCCCATGCAGCGCCGTGCTCTGCAACGCACAGAGCAAACTGCAATGCGGGCACGCAAAGGTGCTTTCTCCCAGTTGCATATTGCAAACGTGGCGCCCGTTACATCCCTCGCAGTGAGGTAACCACCAAAAGGACCTAAGTGTCCAGGTAGAGCAATGGGGGAGCATGCAGCTCCAGGAAGGGAAACTCCCAGCGGCTGAAAACTGAAAAAGCGAAACTTAAGGGACTCTTCAGCACGAGGGAGCCATGGCTGCTGCAGGGGGTCACATCCAGCGTCTCCGTGATGAAGCCACTTGCCCCATCTGCCGGGATTACTTCAAGGATCCAGTGACCATCAGGATTTTTGCATTGGGCTACTCCAAACTCACTGTCAAATCACATGTCTGTGGCCACAGCATGAACCACCAAAAATCATACATCCACTGTTTCGTTCTGAATCCCCCCCCCCCCCGTTTTCCTCCTCTAAAAACTAGGTGCGTCTTATGGAGCGAAAATACGGTAAATATTGCCTTCAGACAGATGGGTGGGGTACAAATAAAAAAAATTATCATCCTCATCATCACTCGATAACCCTCTCCTCCATGAATTTGTCTTTTTTAAAATCAGTGGCTGTTGGTGCTTCTTGTGGCAGTGAGTTCCACAGTTTAACTGTGAAATACTTTTCTTTGGTCCAACGTTCGGCTTCATTGGATGTCTGGCATTATGGGAGCGCGAGAAGCACGTTATCAGTGTTCCCCACGGCTTGCGTTTCCTTTTCCGTGCCACGCATTAGTTTTCCCTCCTAAAAATAAAATAAATGTGACAAGCAGCCCATAAGATGGACCGCGCATGATTTTATAAAGTTCTGCCTCGTTGCCTCTTTCTCACATTTCCCTCTAAACCAAAAAAATCCCCAAATGTTGAAACCTCTCCGCATGTGGGAGACGTTCCGACTTTGGCTGGTGTTTCCTGAAACTCTTCCCAACTCTACTGTACCCTTTTGGGAGGGTGGGGACCGCATGGGGAGAGCAGTGTTGTTAGCAGAAATATGAATCACCCCACACTTAGTCCTTTTACAATTTCTCTCTTTGTTGGAAGCTGCCTTAAAGGTAAAGGGACCCCTGACCATTAGGTCCAGTCGTGACCGACTCTGGGGTTGTGGCACTCATCTCGCTTTATTGGCCAAGGGAGCCGGCGTTCAGCTTCTGGGTCATGTGGCCAGCAGGACTAAGCTGCTTCTGGCGAACCAGAGCAGCGCACAGAAACGCCGTTTACCTTCCTGCCGGAGCGGTACCTATTTATCTACTTGCACTTTGATGTGCTTTTGAACTACTAGGTTGGCAGGAGCAGGGACCGAGAAGTGGTCAGCCAGATGGGCGGGGAACAAAAGAATAAATAAATATGATAATTCCAGATCCAACACAATTAGCCTTCCTCCCCTGTCTAGCCACCGCCGGTATGAAATTGTGTCTTCATTTTTTCTTTTTTTTTAATCATTTTTATTGATTTTCCAATAAAAAGAGCCAATCAAGATAAATAGCCGAATCATAATCCAATTAAAAATAATAAACTAAAAACAAAACAACCAAATTGTAGTTATTAATTTTTACAGGCTCCCTATAGTCTGGACCTCTGAAGCATATCTCCAAATTTTCTCCCTGCCTCTTCTCGTTGCTTTCATATTTTCCTCCTTCTGATCTTAACGCTTTAAAGTTCTCCGTCCCTGGCTATGCGATTCTCAGTCATGTCAAAAATCATATATCCTTTCATACATTGAATACAGCTTTATTTGTAAATATATATTTTTTGTGTCTTCATTTTTTCATATCGGTTTCTATTAAGGGTTTTCAGCATAAAACTCAATGAAAGCCAAACTAATCCAAAGACCTAGGGAACAAGCAAGAATAAGGAAAAGAAGGAAATAAAGAAGTAGAAAAAGAAGAGAAGACGAAAAAGAAGTGTGTGTGTGTGTGTGTGTGTGGAAATCCACAAGATCCTCTATCCTAATTTTATCTTCACCCCCGAAGGATGACAACCAACATGATCAAAGGTCTAAACCTTATGAGGAACGGTTGAAGGAGCTGGCTAGGTTTAACCTTGAAAAGAGGAGGCCAAGAAGAGGCAAGATAGCCAATTTCAAATTTTGAAAAATAAATTTCAAAAACCAAGCAGAGGGCCTTCTCGGTAGTGGCGCCCTCCCTGTGGAATGGCCTTCCTTCAGCTGTCAAGGAGATAAAAGAATTACACAACTTTTAGAAGACACCTGAAGGCAGGCCTGTGTAGGGAGGTTTTTAAAGCTTGATGTTTGTTTTGGTTTTGTTTTTTATTATATTTTTAGTTATTCTGTAAGCTGCCCATAGTGGTCATGTGAAAGATGGAACAAACTTGTTCTCTCCTGTTTTGGAGGGCAAGACTGGAACCAATGTTTTTTTAGCCCAAGACAACAGGTCTCCGGAGGGACGCGGGTGGCGCTGTGGGTTAAACCACAGAGCCTAGGACTTGCCGATCAGAAGGTCGGCGGTTCAAATCCTCATTATGGGGTGAGCTCCCGTTGCTCGGTCCCTGCTCCTGCCAACCTAGCAGATCGAAAGCATGACAAAGTGCAAGTAGATAAAAAGGTACCCTTCCGGCGGGAAGGTAAACGGCGTTTCCGTGCGCTGCTCTGGTTTGCCAGAAGCATCCCATGGGACGATGCCAAGGGCTTTCTGGCCTCCTTTGAGCGGGTGGCCCAAGGGAGAGTGGGCGGCCAGGCTGCTGCCAGCCCTCCGAGGAGGGGCCGAGTGGGCCTTTGGCAGCCTGGAGGCCAGCGACAGAGAGGATTATGGGGAAGTGAAGGCGGCCATCTTGCGCGGGGACACCACCGCCCAGGAGAAGCAGCGGCAGCAGCACTTCCGCCGCTTCTGCTACCAGGAGGCCGAGGGGCGAGGCCTATGGCCGCCTCCAGGAGCTCTGCCGTGGGTGGTTAAAAGTGGACCGGCACACCAAGGAGCAGGTTCTGGAACTGCTGATCCTGGAGCAGTTCCTGGCTATCCTGCCGCCCGAGGTCCAGGGCTGGGTCAGGGAGGCCGGGCCTGAGAGCTGCTCCCAGGCAGTGGCCCTGGCCGAGGAAGACCTCCAGGCGCAACGGGAAGCTGAGGGGCAGGAGCTCACATGCGCCTTGGGGCTGTGTTGCTGGGGGGCTCCTGGGGGGCTGATCCTGCCACTCCCTGGGTTGTTAACCAAGAGAGCGAAGCCTGTCCGTTTCATGCTGATTAAGGAGGGGAAGTCCAATTCTATGCCCCTAGCTCACTCAGGGAAACACTTAATCTCAGGGTTGCGGGTTCAAGTCCCGTTTGGGGGCAAAAGATTCCTGCGTTGCAAGGGGTTGGACTAGATGACCCTCAGGATCCCTTCCAACTCTATGATTCCTGTGCTCTTCTAGGCATACTCCCCAAGTGTCCCTTGTCTCCAATGACAGTTCTGGAATTATGAAAGCCATCCCAGCTTCTGATTTGATCCTGGACTGTCCCTAATTCCGCTGCCAGTGCCGAGATCGGGGAATAGTATGAGCTGGCCCTTGTCCCAAGCCATGGCGGCTGCGGCGGCTGTGAGAGGGCATCCTGTTGCCTCTCCATGGCCTCTCCACGGCCGCTGCTACCAGCTTCCTCCCTTGGGCAGCTGCTAGTGGCTGCTAGATAGCGGGTGGGGAGGAGAGGCCACCACCATTAAGGCCCTGTTTGACGCGCCAGCTCTGAGGGGGAGGCAGAGGACAAGAAGAAAGAAAGAAAGAAATATTTAGCTGGGAAAGAAGAAAGGGGGAGTGGAGCAGAGCACAAGGAATCTTGATTTTTGGACAGTGAAACCTCAGTTTTCGAGCGTATCGGATGCTGAACGATTCGGAACCCGAACGCCGAAAACTCGGAAGCAATTCTTTTCGTTTCAAAGTCAAACGGCTTCCGAGTCGCATTTCTCCATTTTTTCAAGGGATTTCACGCCCATTGCGCCTCGGCTGTCGAACGTTTTGGAAGTCGAACGGTCTTCAGGAACGGGTTGCGTTTCAAAAACTGCTGTATTTGAAAAAAGTGATTTGTGCGTCTGCATCTAATCTTGCCCCTTTCTAAAATGTATTCATTGGCGTGTGCTTCTCTTTTTGTCAATTGACCAAAAAAGAAAGCCGGGGTGAAGGGTTTTTCTCAGGAGGGCGTTTGTGCTGCATCCCCTTGGTGTGGTCGTGGTGGGAATGCTCTGCTGGGATGGGTTGGGGAACAAAAATGGGGGTTGGGGATGAGGAGGGTCAGTTGAGTGGGGAGTGACAAATGCCCCTCTTTTCATCTAAGGAACGTTGGAGGGTATGGCTGGGTGATGGCTTCAGGGTGGGGTTTGAGGGAGGCTCTGGGTTTTCCGCCCAGGCCTCTCCCTCCTTGCCCTGTTGCTCTGTCCTGACAGGGTTCCTTCCTGATGTTGCAGGTGGGATTTGAGGAGGCCGCCGCAGATGTCTCTGAGGAAGTGCCGTCCGCAGATGTCGAACAGAGGCCCCTATACGTGGAGGCCAAGCAGGAAGATGCAAGCGAGGCCCAACTGGCAGGGAAGTAGGGCCGGATTTAGAGTCGTGCCCCCTGGATCATGCACCTTCATTGTATTGCTCCCATCACAGGCTGAAGACACCACCACTTTGGCTTCGCGTGTGCAGAGGAGGGCAACTAGGATGATCTAGAAGCTAAGCCTTGTGAGGAACGGTTGAAGGAGCTGGGGATGTTTAGCCTGCAAAAGAGGAGACTGAGAGGAGATATGGTAGCCATCTTCAAAGATGGCTGTCACATGGAGGATGGAGCAAGCTTGTTTCCTCCTGCTCTGGAAGGTAGGATTCAAACCAGTGGCTTCAAGTTGCAGGAAAGGAGTTGGATGGGCATCTGCCATGGATGCTTGAGCTGAGATTCCTGCCTTGCAGGGGGTTGGACTAGATGACCCTCGGGTCCCTTACAACTCTATGATTCTATGATCCAAGAGACACGTTTTTCAGGTCACAGAAGATCGCTGTGACTGTAAATTGTTTTGAACTGCTTTTAGCATTGATTTTTTTTTCTTTATTACGGTCCAGAGACCCAACAAATTGTTACAAAGCAATGCACAATTCAGACAGCCTACCTCCAGGTTAAACAAGCATTTTGTTCAGACTTAAAGACAGGGATCATTGGTTCTTGCAACCACCGATAAAAACTTTGCCACTGCTAATGTTCTAGCGTTTGTCCGGTCTTCCAATAGGAACCTGACATAATGAGCCTCTGATTTTCCCAGGAAAGGTACCAGCAAGGGTAATATCAGTTCAGCCTTGGCTTGCTCATGTTTCGCAGCAAAATATGTTTTATAGAATCGATGTCTTGAGCACATGAGCAAAGTCTGTCCTGGTAGGGAACTCCTCTCAACCTGCCATCCAACACTGCAGAAGGAAAGACGTTTAGTCTGGCTTTGGTGAACAACCTTAGATAATTTGGTACTGAATTTTAAATTTCTGTAGTCCACTGAGGGACGTTAGGGTGAAGAAATCAAATTAAGAGAAGTAAGAGACATAACCTTCTTTTTCTCATTTATTCAGCAGGTAAAAGGTGGGTGGGCATACCTGAGGGAGAGAGATACACACCTGAAGATGTTGAGGGGTTTTCCGGAGGGAGAGCAGAGGAGGAGAACTTTTCCTCGTCCTCTGTCATCCCCTTCTCCTTGTGCCCTCCATCTTTCCCAACATCAGGGTCTTTTCCAGGGAGTCTTCTCTTCTCATGAGGTGGCCAAAGTATTGGAGCCTCAGCTTCACGATCTGTCCTTCCAGTGAGCACTCAGGGCTGATTTCCTTAAGAATGGATACGTTTGATCTTCTTGCAGTCCATGGGACTCTCAAGAATCTCCTCCAGCACCATAATTCAAAAGCATCAATTCTTCGGCGATCAGCCTTTTTGATGGTCCAGCTCTCACTTCCATACATCACTACTGGGAAAACCATGGCTTTAACTATACGGACCTTTGTTGGTAAGGTGATGTCTCTGCTTTTTAAGATGCTGTCTAGGTTTGCCATCGCCTTTCTCCCAAGGAGCAGGCGTCTTTTTAATAATAATAATAATAATAATAATAATAATAATAATAATAATAATATTAATAATAATAATAATAATAATAATAATAATAATAATAATATATTTTTGTCCCACCCATCTGCCTGGGTTACCCCAGCCACTCTGAGCGGCTTCCAACCAAATATTAAAAACAATACAGCATCAGACATTAAAAACGTCCCTAAGAAGGGCCGCCTTCAGTTTCCTTCTAAAAGTCAGATAGTTTTTTACTTCCTTGACATCTGATGGAAAGGCGTTCCACAGGGCTGGTGCCACTACCAAGAGGGCCCTCTGCCTGGTTCCCTGGAACCTCACTTCTTGCAAGGAGGGAACCTCAGTGTCCAGGCAGAACGATGGGGTGGAGACGCTCCTTCAGGTACACTGGGCTGAGGCCATTTAGGGTTTGAAAGGTCAGCACCAACACTTTGAATTGTGCTCGGAAACGTACTGGGAGGTGCTTTATTACCCGTTTGGAGGCATTTTATGCTGCAGGTGCTTTTCTTATTTCCAGTTGGAAAGTAGAATTTGAAATTTGGGGACTTCTATGGAAGACAATTTGGGACAGTTCTCTGGTAGGATTATCCTGTAGGCTTACTTACGTCTGAATTGCACAATGCAAACTGGATTAAAGTTAATAAATTATAATCTAAGACAAGAGATGGGATGGAATCTTCTCCTGAACCCACAAATATTAAATTTCCCAAAAATGCTGGTGGATTTTCATAAGGATTCTTAAAAAATAATTGTAAACAGATGTGGAAATGTGGAGAACTTGATACTGGAAAAATTAATAATTTCAGACTGGAGAAATAAAAGCTGTGAGAAACCAAAACTGGCTGATTCAGCCATTCCTACCCAAAACCTTGGCATGTGCCAGGCAGACTGACATCCGAGGGCCAGGGTCTGAGGGGGTCTTCCTAGTGTGGCCTGTGGTGTGCAGTGAATTCCCTTCTCTTTTCCCCTCTAGGATGTGAGAAGCACCTTGCAGAGGTAAGTGGATCTGGCTCATTTCCATTAGCTTCACTCTTTGAAGCTGAGATGCAGGAACCTCAGACATGGCCCTCCAGGGGCTGCAGGGGGGAGACTGGAGGACTCACTCCCTGAGGCATCTCACAGGTAAAAGCAGGGGCCCCTCTTTGGAACTTGACAATGGGTAGATCACAGTTGGTCTTTTTATACTGTGAGTAGATCACAGTCTCTTGGGAGTTGGACGTGCCTGCCTTAGCTGTTTCCTTCTAGACTGACCAGTTCAGTCACTCTGCTGGCCACCCCACCCTGTCCCAAGCAAACTCCTGCCCCATAGAGCCCCTTGGGAGGGGGCGATTTCTCACCAAGGAGCAGGAATTGGCTATTTTCTTGACCATATTCCGGCTGCAGTATTTATATTGAAGGAATCACTCAGGTGCAGAGTAGAGGTTTGAAGGAACATTTCTTGTTTCCCAACAAAAGTGCATCTCTTTTTCTTCCTCTCCCCTTCTCTGGGGACATCTAGAGAAAGGACATGTGTGCTGTGCTCTCACCACCCTCAGACAATTCCTGCCCCTTGATACCATAGGATTCTGCTGCTGCTTTGAATAGACATCAGTGGGGAGACTCAGAGGCCTGGGGTTGCTGTTTTGGCCCTTGGGGGTCTGGCTGAGGAGTCCGTAGTGAGGAAGAAACTCCCCACTCAGCGCATGCCTGTCCCTCTAGGCCTCCTCCCAATTCCTTTCTTTTCCTTTAACAGAAATTGCAGATTTGAATGGGCTGACATTGTTCTTCTTTTCACCAGGTATGATGAGAAAAGAGAGAGTCCAGAGAAGCCACTGCCTTTCCCTCCAGAGCTGAGGAACAGGGTCTTGGAATCCTGTGATCTAAATCACCTTGTGGAGGATGCAATGAAGCAATGGAAAGGTAATGGAAATTGGCTGCCAGGATTTCACACTGGGATTTCTATTATTTCTTCAGAACTGAACATGCCAGGCTCTTACTGCATGGAATTGCGTAACCCCAGGATACCTTCCTTCTTGGGGCTCCAGCCTTCATTTCCTGTCCCCCCAGAATGGCCCATGTATATTGTGAGGCTGGATCCTGTAAAGGAAGCCTGAACCAGAGGGTATCTCTTTTCAATTCTACGGAACCTCCTTTTCCTTTTGGTTACCAGTCTACATAAATCTGGGGTTGTCCTTTGGGAGGTTCTCCTGCTCTGAATGGAGTCAATTCAAGGATGCTACATTATGAAGTGTTACTTTTGTATGGAGATTTATCTCAGGTGGAAGAGTGTTGCCCTTACACGTTATATCTTTTTGCTTCCTCAGATGCTGTGTTATACAGAAAACAGACTCAGAAAGGTAAATTTCCAGGGGAGGAACAATTTGACAGGAGGGATGGGGACTGATATTTCATGGTGTTAAACCGTCTGTTCTGCAGACTTTGGGACCCCCATCAATGGCGTCACTCTGGGAAACAGTCCTCTAGTGGTGTTTGGGTTCTTGGTCTGTCCCATGAATGAACTGGGAGAGGGTTTGAAGGCTTGGATTGGGGGCAGAGCTTGTCCCTGTGAAGAACCTGCACACCAGTCTGAGTTCCATTCCTGCCTATAGACTAGGATCCTGGTTTCACTCTCGATTTTATAGATTTTGCTTTCTTTCATAAAATCTGTATACTGCTTGTTTGTAGGGAAAACCCTCAGAGTCTTACAATATCTTACAAAACCTTAAGGAGGATCCTGCAGGGTCAGTCCAATGTCCATCTTGTCGCCTTCTCATGTATAAGGAATCTCCCTTGCATTTTGTTTTCCCTCCACACAATCTGCAGAGGTTCTTTGGGGGCTTTTGAGATCAGCCCCATTCCCGGCAGGAGGACTTCCCATTGCATGAGACCTTTGGAATTACAGGGTAAAGCTCTGCCGATTCTTCCTCTGGTTTGTCAGCATGCTTGGAAATTCCGGTTTCAACAGCTTTTCCCCACTAGTTCACTTGGCGCAGATAGAATCATAGAGTTGGAAGAGACCACAAGGGCCATCGAGTCTAACCCCCTGCCAAGCAGGAAACACCATCAGAGCACTCCTGACATATGGTTGTCAAGCCTCTGCTTAAAGACCTCCAAAGAAGGAGACTCCACCACACTCCTTGGCAGCAAATTCCACTGTCGAACAGCTCTTACTGTCAGGAAGTTCTTCCTAATGTTGAGGTGGAATCTTCTTTCTTGTAGTTTGGATCCATTGCTCCGTGTCCGCTTCTCTGGAGCAGCAGAAAACAACCTTTCTCCCTCCTCTATGTGACATCCTTTTATATATTTGAACATGGCTATCATATCACCCCTTAACCTCCTCTTCTCCAGGCTAAACATGCCCAGCTCCCTTAGCCGTTCCTCATAAGGCATCGTTTCCAGGCCTTTGACCATTTTGGTTGCCCTCCTCTGGACACGTTCCAGTTTGTCAGTGTCCTTCTTGAACTGTGGTGCCCAGAACTGGACACAGTACTCCAGGTGAGGTCTGACCAGAGTAGAATACAGTGGCACTATTACTTCCCTTGATCTAGATGCTATACTCCTATTGATGCAGCCCAGAATTGCATTGGCTTTTTTAGCTGCCGTGACACACTGTTGGCTCATGTCAAGTTTGTGGTCAACCAAGACTCCTAGATCCTTTTCACATGTACTGCTCTCAAGCCAGATGTTAACCTTCCTCCAGCCATTCAGTACAGATTCCCATTTCATTCATGGATTCTGAATGATTGTATTCCACCATTTTCTAGCATGGTTTACCATTTCTGATTTCCTCATGGAATCATGGAATAGTAGAGTTTGAAAGGATCCCAAGGGTCATCTAGTCCATGGGTAGGCAAACTAAGGCCCAGGAGCTGGATCTGGCCCAATCTCCTTCTAAATCTGGCCCGCGGACTGTCTGGGAATCATCGTGTTTTTACATAAGTAGAATGTGTCCTTTTATTTAAAATGCATCTCTGGGTTATTTGTGGGGCATAGGATTTTGTTATTTTTCTCTCTCTTCAAATACAGTGGCACCTTGGGTTACAGATGCTTCAGGTTACAGACTCTGCTCACCCAGAAATAGTACCTCGGGTTAAGAACTTTGCTTCAGGATGAGAACAGAAATCGTGCTCTGGCAGCGCAGCAGCAGCAGGAGGCCCCATGAGCTAAAGTGGTGTTTCAGGTTAAGAACAGTTTCAGGTTAAGAACGGACCTCCAGAACAAATTAAGTACTTAACCCGAGGTACCACTATATAGTCCTGCCCCCCACAAGGTCTGAGGGACAGTGGACCGGCCCCCTGCTGAAAAAGTTTGCTGACCCCTGGTCTAGCCCAACCCCCTGCAATGCAGGGATCACAGCTAAACACGTTAGTTGTTTTAATTCCTTAGGGCTTTAGTTGTTATCTTTGCAATTATTTGCTCTATGATGTCATCTTTTGCTTAAAATAAGGGAAGAACAGGTGCTTTACAAAATATATATATATTCTTTTGAGCTATTGCAATGTAGCCTCTTAACCCTCTTTTTGCTTCCTCATATGTCCAGTCTTTCAGAAATCTCCGCGGAGGTAAAATTCACATGGAGACCCCAGTTCACAGGAGGGTGGGGACTAGTGTTTCATGGGGGGTGAAGAGTCTCTTCTGTACAGCTAGACTCTAGCCCTGCTGCTGTTTGTGCCACAAAGGCAGAGAGGGGGGACTTGAAGGGGGGAGAGAAACTCCCCAGAAGGATCAGGCAGAGGAGGGAAGAGTTTTACTCCTGGCTAGAGAGAGTTGGATCGCTTTTCCATCTGACCTTTTTCAGCTTGCCTGGTTGCCATGTGTCCTCTTTTTCCTGTCACATCCTCTATTTTCCTGATTAAAATTGTTGCCCGGGCAGATTTTTAAAATTTGGCATAATGTCCCAAGTTTTTTGGTTTGGTTTTTGGGTTTACATGAACGCACGGAATTTTTCTAGTGTATTAGACTCAGATCTAAGACACCTTGCTTAGCTAGTCTGCAGCAGACAATCACAACAGAATGCCGTATTGGCCCGAATATAAGCCGCACCCACAAATAAGCCGCAGAAGAAGAAGAAGAAGAAGAAGAAGAAGAAGAAGAAGAAAGAAGAAGAAGAAGAAGAAGAAGAAGAAGAAGAAGAAGAATGCCGTATTGGCCAGAATATAAGCCGCACCCACAAATAAGCCGCACCTTTAAAATTCAAGGGGGGGGGGAGAAAAAAGATAATACCCAAATATAAGCCACTCCCTTAAAATTGGGTTACAGGCTGAAAATTGCTGCCACAGGTACAAGTGTAACTCCGAGCCAATTTAAGCCTTTGCTCTTGCAAGCCCACAAAAGTTACCGTACAATCGCTAAAATCGCAAATCACTATTCAGCTGCTACAATGCCGCAGGCACTCACACCCGTAAATGGCAAATGAAGTCTCAAGCTCGCAAATCGGCAATAAAACTTTTTTTTGTCCCCTTTTACCGTATGTCTGTTTCAGCAGCAATATCGTAAAAGGTGGTTTTTGTAAGGTCGCAAATTTAAGCCACACTTTAACTTTTCAAGGTCAGAATTGGGGGGGGGGAGTGCAGCTTATATTCGGACCAATATAATAATAATAATAATAATAATAATAATAATAATAATAATAATAATGCTGCACCGTTTCTAATAAGGCTGCACCTAAGATAGCTCAGATGGCAGAGCATGAGACTCTGAATCTCAGGGACGTGGGTTCCAGCCCCATGTCGGGTGAAAAATTCCTGCATTGCAGGGGTTGGACTAGATGACCCTCGGGTCCCTTCCAATGCTGCGATTCTGCAAGGATTTGTGCAGCTGAAGAGTTAAACCCACAGAGCTGCAATGGCTAGAGTTGCAGGAGGGAGGCAGGCTTGTGAAAGCCAGGAAGGGTTTTTCCTCCCTGGTTAGGGGGTGGGCCTTGGTTTTGAATTTCTTTTGCAGCTGGCATAAAAGGAGGAGGAAAGAAGGAGAGGAGGAGAAGACAGGAGGACAGTGTGCTAGACTGGGGCATGGAGGCGGAGAGGCAGGGAATTGCTGGAGGAGGAAAAAAGACCCTCTTTTGCAATTGCTCTCCCTCCTCTGGGTAGCAGGCAGGGGTCTCTCTGCTGCTGGTTTCCCCCTTCCAGAAGAAGCAAACTCTTTGAGCAAGCTGGGTCAAAGGGTACGTGGACAGCGCTTTTCTATGGGGTACTGGGGAGGGGCGGTAGAAGAGGGGGACGGCATGGGGCAGGGAGCCTCCTAAAACGAAGGGGGCCTGCCTGCTTGAGCCTCCTACAATTCCTGGGTGATGGGGGGGGGGGGCTTCTGCAGAGCATCGGAGACCAAAGCGCATAGCAGCGTATCGTTAACCTCTGGAACTCCCCTCCACAGGAGAGAATAATAATAATAATAATAATAATAAAATTTATTTATACCCCGCCCTCCCCAGCCAAGACCGGTCTCAGGGCAGCTAACACCCAATATAAAAACAAATACAATTTAAAAACAAGGAGTTCCTGAAGACAATGGAGTCTCCTCTGCCCGGATCGGCGAGGCGGCCCCATGGGACGATGCCAAGGGCTTTCTGGCCTCCTTTGAGCGGGTGGCCCAAGGGAGAGTGGGCGGCCAGGCTGCTGCCAGCCCTCCGAGGAGGGGCCGAGTGGGCCTTTGGCAGCCTGGAGGCCAGCGACAGAGAGGATTATGGGGAAGTGAAGGCGGCCATCTTGCGCGGGGACACCACCGCCCAGGAGAAGCAGCGGCAGCAGCACTTCCGCCGCTTCTGCTACCAGGAGGCCGAGGGGCGAGGCCTATGGCCGCCTCCAGGAGCTCTGCCGTGGGTGGTTAAAAGTGGACCGGCACACCAAGGAGCAGGTTCTGGAACTGCTGATCCTGGAGCAGTTCCTGGCTATCCTGCCGCCCGAGGTCCAGGGCTGGGTCAGGGAGGCCGGGCCTGAGAGCTGCTCCCAGGCAGTGGCCCTGGCCGAGGAAGACCTCCAGGCGCAACGGGAAGCTGAGGGGCAGGAGCTCACATGCGCCTTGGGGCTGTGTTGCTGGGGGGCTCCTGGGGGGCTGATCCTGCCACTCCCTGGGTTGTTAACCAAGAGAGCGAAGCCTGTCCGTTTCATGCTGATTAAGGAGGGGAAGTCCAATTCTATGCCCCTAGCTCACTCAGGGAAACACTTAATCTCAGGGTTGCGGGTTCAAGTCCCGTTTGGGGGCAAAAGATTCCTGCGTTGCAAGGGGTTGGACTAGATGACCCTCAGGATCCCTTCCAACTCTATGATTCCTGTGCTCTTCTAGGCATACTGCCCAAGTGTCCCTTGTCTCCAATGACAGTTCTGGAATTATGAAAGCCATCCCAGCTTCTGATTTGATCCTGGACTGTCCCTAATTCCGCTGCCAGTGCCGAGATCGGGGAATAGTATGAGCTGGCCCTTGTCCCAAGCCATGGCGGCTGCGGCGGCTGTGAGAGGGCATCCTGTTGCCTCTCCATGGCCTCTCCACGGCCGCTGCTACCAGCTTCCTCCCTTGGGCAGCTGCTAGTGGCTGCTAGATAGCGGGTGGGGAGGAGAGGCCACCACCATTAAGGCCCTGTTTGACGCACCAGCTCTGAGGGGGAGGCAGAGGACAAGAAGAAAGAAAGAAAGAAATATTTAGCTGGGAAAGAAGAAAGGGGGAGTGGAGCAGAGCACAAGGAATCTTGATTTTTGGACAGTGAAACCTTAGTTTTCGAGCGTATCGGATGCTGAACGATTCGGAACCCGAACGCCGAAAACTCGGAAGCAATTCTTTTCGTTTCAAAGTCAAACGGCTTCCGAGTCGCATTTCTCCATTTTTTCAAGGGATTTCACGCCCATTGCGCCTCGGCTGTCGAACGTTTTGGAAGTCGAACGGTCTTCAGGAACGGATTACGTTTCAAAAACTGCTGTATTTGAAAAAAGTGATTTGTGCGTCTGCATCTAATCTTGCCCCTTTCTAAAATGTATTCATTGGCGTGTGCTTCTCTTTTTGTCAATTGACCAAAAAAGAAAGCCGGGGTGAAGGGTTTTTCTCAGGAGGGCGTTTGTGCTGCATCCCCTTGGTGTGGTCGTGGTGGGAATGCTCTGCTGGGATGGGTTGGGGAACAAAAATGGGGGTTGGGGATGAGGAGGGTCAGTTGAGTGGGGAGTGACAAATGCCCCTCTTTTCATCTAAGGAACGTTGGAGGGTATGGCTGGGTGATGGCTTCAGGGTGGGGTTTGAGGGAGGCTCTGGGTTTTCCGCCCAGGCCTCTCCCTCCTTGCCCTGTTGCTCTGTCCTGACAGGGTTCCTTCCTGATGTTGCAGGTGGGATTTGAGGAGGCCGCCGCAGATGTCTCTGAGGAAGTGCCGTCCGCAGATGTCGAACAGAGGCCCCTATACGTGGAGGCCAAGCAGGAAGATGCAAGCGAGGCCCAACTGGCAGGGAAGTAGGGCCGGATTTAGAGTCGTGCCCCCTGGATCATGCACCTTCATTGTATTGCTCCCATCACAGGCTGAAGACACCACCACTTTGGCTTCGCGTGTGCAGAGGAGGGCAACTAGGATGATCTAGAAGCTAAGCCTTGTGAGGAACGGTTGAAGGAGCTGGGGATGTTTAGCCTGCAAAGGAGGAGACTGAGAGGAGATATGGTAGCCATCTTCAAAGATGGCTGTCACATGGAGGATGGAGCAAGCTTGTTTCCTCCTGCTCTGGAAGGTAGGATTCAAACCAGTGGCTTCAAGTTGCAGGAAAGGAGTTGGATGGGCATCTGCCATGGATGCTTGAGCTGAGATTCCTGCCTTGCAGGGGGTTGGACTAGATGACCCTCGGGTCCCTTACAACTCTATGATTCTATGATCCAAGAGACACGTTTTTCAGGTCACAGAAGATCGCTGTGACTGTAAATTGTTTTGAACTGCTTTTAGCATTGATTTTTTTTTTTCTTTATTACGGTCCAGAGACCCAACAAATTGTTACAAAGCAATGCACAATTCAGACAGCCTACCTCCAGGTTAAACAAGCATTTTGTTCAGACTTAAAGACAGGGATCATTGGTTCTTGCAACCACCGATAAAAACTTTGCCACTGCTAATGTTCTAGCGTTTGTCCGGTCTTCCAATAGGAACCTGACATAATGAGCCTCTGATTTTCCCAGGAAAGGTACCAGCAAGGGTAATATCAGTTCAGCCTTGGCTTGCTCATGTTTCGCAGCAAAATATGTTTTATAGAATCGATGTCTTGAGCACATGAGCAAAGTCTGTCCTGGTAGGGAACTCCTCTCAACCTGCCATCCAACACTGCAGAAGGAAAGACGTTTAGTCTGGCTTTGGTGAACAACCTTAGATAATTTGGTACTGAATTTTAAATTTCTGTAGTCCAACATTTAAATTGTAGACCGCCTTTTCTGTGATGTAGGTATGATGTATGGACGGGTAGTCTTGAGTGACAGGGCAGGGAATTTAAAATGTCTATATAAGGCCTTGCACACCATTGTTCTGGGTTCCCTATTAGGGACTTTGTCTTCTTTCCATCTCTGGGCCAGTAACAACCGGGTGGCTGTCGTCGCATACATAAAAAGTATTTTCTGCTCCCTTGGAATATCGGCACCTACAATTCCTAATAGAAAAACCTCTGCTCCCCCCCCCCCAAGTTAATTTAAACATTTAAATTGTGCCATTGCTGGGATTCTTTGGTGTCGACATCTCCTCTCTCGACTCCTTCCAGGCTTACCTGGAGTTCTTCACCTCCAGCGAGAACGTCAGAGCCCTCCGAAGAACTACGGCCAGCGAGTGAATTACCACATTGTCAATGTCAAGGTGCGTCCTTCCTCAGTGCCAGATTACCAAACAGACAGACTGGGCACTGGCCTACGAGCCTAGGGGCCCCTCAACAACGGATCAAAATAATATTGATTGGCATGGTTGGCCAATTGGTGTCAAGGAAGGACAGGATGTTTTTTATGTATGCTACCACAGCAGCAAGGGTTCTTTTAGCAAAGTATTGGAAGACACAAGAACTACCCACGCTGGAAGAATGGCAGACGAAGGTGATTGATTATATGGGACTGGCGGAGATGACTGGCAGAATCCGTGATCAAGGAAAAGAGACGGCAGAAGAAGATTGGAAGAAATTTAAAGTATATCTTAAGAACTGTTGTAAAATTAATGAGTGCTAGAATGCCATGGGTAAAGAAACAATATAGAAGTACAGCTGTAAATGATTAAGAGAAGAAGGGGGGAAAAATAAAGAAAATGAGTAATCAGTTAATTGAAGTGAGGTGTTGCTGAAGAAATTTTAAAATAGGGATGCAGAAAGGGGAGGCATGGGGAAGTCGGGGAAGTAAGATTTATGAAAAAGAGGTTTTGAAATTATACGTGTTTATATGTTTGTTTGTCTATGTATTGTGTTTTGTATTGTTTTTAATTTATGTTGGAAAATTAATAAAAATTTATGGAAAAAACAAAAAAACAACAAAATAATATTGATTTGATCTTGAAAGAAAATTGGGAAATAATTTGTGAGGGGGCCTGCGAGATTCTGACTGCCTAGGAGCCTCCACTGGGTTTAATCCAACCCTGGTCCTTCCTCTGGTAGGCTGGCAGTGAAAACGTTTCCGTGGAAACTTGGGATGCTTGGACTGAGAGCGTATGTGGGGAGCAAACCCTCTGCTTGTGATCTCTGGAGAATATTTTGAGAACTGTTCAGCCTCTGCTAGGACAATTGGCATTGGGTTCATGGCTCCTCCTTGTGGCCCAGTTTCAGTGCCTCCTGTTTAGCCAGAGAATCTGATCAGCTGAGCATATCGTTCCCTGGAGGAGTTTTCTGGATGCAGGGAGGAATAATAATAATAATAATAATTTATTATTTATACGCCACCCATCTGGCTGGGTTTCCCCAGCCACTCCGGGCGGCTTCCAACAGAACACTAAAATACAATAACCTATTAAACATTAAAAGCTTCCCTAAACAGGGCTGCCTTCAGATGTCTTCTAAAAGTTTGGTAGTTTTTTTTCTCTTTGACATCTGGCGGGAGGGCGTTTCACAGGGAGGGTGCCACTACCGAGAAGGCCCTCTGCCTGGTTCCCTGTAACTTGGCTTCTCATTGCAAGGGAACCGCCAGAAGGCCCTTGGCGCTGGACCTCAGTGTCCAGGCAGAACAATGGAGGTGGAGATGCTCCTTCAGGTATACTGGACCGAGGCCTGTTCAGTTGGGCCTGAGATCTGTAAAAAAGAAAAAGAAAAAAGGTAAAGGACCCGTGGATGGTTAAGTCCAGTCAAAGGCGACTATGGGGTTGCGGAGCTCATCTCGCTTTCAGGCCGAGGGAGCCGGTATTTGTCCGCAGACAGCTTTCCGGGTCATGTGGCCTGCAGGACTAAACCGCTACTGGCGCAACGGGACACCGTGACGGAAACCAGAGCGCACAGAAACGCCGTTTACCTTCCCGCCGCAGCAGTACCTATTTATCTACTTGCACTGGGGTGCTTTCGAACTGCTAGGTTGGCAGGAGCTGGGCCCGAGCAACGGGAGCTCACCCCGTGGCGGGGATTCGAACCGCTGACCTTCTGATCGGCAAGCCCAAGAGGCTCAATGGTTTAGACCACAGCGCCACCCGTGTCTTGAGATCTGTACAGGCCTGGCAGCAAGTTAACAGGTGTATACAAAACCGTGATGCAGCTGTTTCCCTCTCTTCCTTCTAAACAACCTCCTGTTTCCCGTCGGTAGGGTGAGAACATCACCAACGCGCATGAAATGCAACCCAATGCTGTAACGTGGGGCATCTTCCCCGGCAGAGAGATCATTCAGCCGACGGTTGTAGACCCGGTTAGCTTCATGTATTTAAAATCAAAGTGCCTTTCTGCAGGGAAGTTCCATCCCACCGCTGCCACCATGTAGTAAAGGGGCTCCTTTACTACTACTAATAATAAAATTTATTCATACCCCGCCCTCCCCAGCCAAGACTGGGCTCAGGGTGGCTAACAACCAATAATAAAAAAATGTTGATTAAAATACAATTTAAAAGATTAAGATACAACATTAAAACATTAGGATGCAGCCTCTTCACGGGAGGGAAAAGGAAATAGAAAGAGGGGGAGGGAATCAAACTGATTCTAAGCCAAAGGTCAGGTGGAACAACTCTGTCTTACAGGCCCTGCGGAAAGAAATCAGATCCCGCAGGGCCCTGGTCTCATGAGACAGAGCGTTCCACCAGGCTGTGTTGAAAAGGATAAACTTTCTATGGAAGCATCGTTGCTTCCAGCTGTGCCTCTGCTCTTCTTCCACAGCTGGAAACCGACAGCAGGGAGAGGGCTTTTGTGCTCAGATCCCGCTTGACTACTGCAACACGCTCTACGTGGGGCTACCTTTGAAGGTGACCTGGAAACTACAACTAATCCAGAATGCGGCTGCTAGACTGGTGATTGGGAGCGGCCGCCAAGGCCACATAACACCGGTCCTGAGAGATCTGCATTGGCTCCCAGTACGTTTCCGAGCACAATTCAAAGTGTTGGTGCTGACCTTGAAAGCCCTAAACGGCCTCGGTCCAGTATAGGCTGCTGAGCTGACTGCTCCTGTTGCTCCTGACCATTGGCCGTGCTGGCTGGAGTGGATGGGAGTTGTTGACAAAAACGGGTAAAAAGGTAAAGGACCCCTGGACAGTTAAGTCCAGCCAAAAGTGACTATGGGGTTGCGGCATGCATCTTGCTTTTCAGGCCAAGGGTGCCGGCGTTTGCGTGGCGAGTTCCTGCCTCCCACCAGTAGAAATAAAGACACATGACACCATTATTTTAGGTTAATGGGCTAAAATTGCCCGCAACTTTATCGGTTACAGGTGATGAGCGGTATTGGCTTAGGCATTGGTCCTATCCAACTATCCGGCTTCGGCCTGCTTGCTTGAAGACCCGGAAGGGTTAACACCAGCAGGGGGAGCCCTGCTGATGCACATCGACTAGGGACTCCCCCGGGGTCACCGCTCGGGGGCGCACTTTAGGCCCTGGCCTCCATAGGCTTCGGACGAGGCCACGCCCCCGGAATCCTTTACTAGACTACCCTTCAATATTTGGGGGAGGTGATGGCGTTCCTCCCCCCCAACACATCTACATAACAATACCCCTACCAATGCCTAACCGCCAAAACCAAAGGAGTTGTGACGATTTGCTATGAGGTGGGCGAAAACCCAAATGGCCGGTGCCAATTTGCCAAGTGGAAAAAATTCCTACCAGGCCCCTTAAAGGCGACCAACCGAGGTCCATAGCGAGGTCAGAAGGGGAACCTTAAAGGGTGGGTGGGTGGGTGGGAAAACCTCCCTTTCACAAGCTGCGTGGAGCGTGTGAAGAGACTGAGGATAAACAGCAGCAAAACCCCACACCCACTGAAGAAAGTTGTGAATCTGAAACTGACTCAGATGGCTCAGCAGCAAAACCCCACAGAGCGTGTGTGCAGCGCTTGCAGGCTTTTCCCCGAGGAGGGAGACGTGTTGTCCTTCTCCCTCCTCTGGGAAAAGCCCCCAAGAGCCGCACACACGCTCCACGCGGCTCTTTAAAGGGAGCGCGGCTCTTGGGGGCTTTTCCAGGAGGTGGTGGAAGGGACAGAGCGTGACTAAGCCAGAAGCTAAAACAGCGAGAGGGAGCACTGCGCAGTGATCCCTCTCGCTGTTCTGGCTTCTGGGATAGCTGCGCAGCCTGCATTCGCTCCATAAGACGAACACACATTTCCCCTTACTTTTTAGGAAGGAAAAGGTGCGTCTTATAGAGCAAAAAATACGGTAGCTTGCAACATCTTTTTTTTAAAAAAGGAAAACCAACTTTTTTTTGTGTTGCTGTAAACAATGCAAGTGCAGGAATGGAAACAAACAAGATTCCGGTCAATAATTGCACAGTTTTGCAAAGATGCATCAAGTTATGACGGAGGTTTAACGAACAATTGCTGTCACAATCCGAAATAGAGTATGTGCAAACGGGAAATAAAAAAGTGAAGGAGAGGGAGGGAGGGAGGGAGGGAGGAAAGGGGGGGGCGAGGAAAGAAGCCAGCAAAGTAATAAGGGAAGGTATCAAGTGGAATCAGAATTGTACAGTTTGAAGAGACCCTGAGCATCATCTAGTCCAGGGGTCAGCAAACCTTTTCAGCCGTGGGCCGGTCTACCGTCCCTCAGACCTTGTGGGGGGCCAGACTATATTTTCTGGAGGGGAAATGAACAAATTCCTATGCCCCACAAATAACCCAGAGATGCATTTTAAATAAAAGCACACATTCTACTGATGTAAAAACACGCTGAGTCCCGGAGCATCTGCGGCCCGGATTTAGAAGGCGATTGGGCCGCATCCAAACCCCTGCAATGCAGGAATATCCAGCTGTCCCATATGGGGATCAAACTTGCAACCTTAGCATTATCAGCACCACAATCTACCCAACTGAGCTATTTAGTGGGTGGACCCTTTTTATTTATATATTTATGATCTTTAAGAACAATATTCATATGCTCTCAACAGAATTTCAAAAGGATTATATCTAAGCCCCCCCCCCCGTCTGACCGTCCAGAATTCTTTAAACATTGCCCATCCTTGCTAGAATCTGTTTATCTTCTTTCCCCTCGTTGAACCCAAAGGAATCCATCTTGCCACATTCTTTACGAGCTTGTGGGAATTGTTTCCATGCTGGCTGCCGGGTAAGGGAAACTCCATCCTCTGCAGCCTTCATGGATGTGAAGGCTGGAAATATCTTTTTTAAAAATTGGCCTTCTAGCCAGCAGACTGGCAGAAGAGGAACAGAGGGTGATTCTCTACCACCAGTTGCTTGGTGGCCCAAGCAAGGGTAGGCTAGAAATTCCTGGTTGGACAGGCAACAGCACCTTGGAGAGCAGACTAAGGTTCGGGTTAAGGACCACGGACAGCTCTCCTGCAAGTGGGGCCAGGCATACAAGTTGTCTCAGCGAGAGATTGCTTTGACCAGCAGACTCCACTGGCCTCCTCCAGTCAGCCTGTGCTAGGAAGGTGTAATTCTCTGGAGCGTTCAGTCTCTCCCAACACAAAGACAGAAGAGGCAATCTCTTCAGATGGGAGGATAATTCTTCTGTCTCTGTGCCTGCCACTGTTCTCCCCAGAGCTTAGCTTCTCCCAGTTATGAGGCATGCTCAAAACAGCCATACATCACCAGAGATGGAGAACTTTAAAGTGTTAAGATCAGAAGGCGGAAAACATGAAAACAACGAGAAGAGGCAGGAACGAAGATTTGGAGATATGCTTTAGAGGTCCAGACTATGGGGAGCCCGGAAAAATGAATAATTACAATTTAGACTACAATTTGGCCGTTTTTTTATTTTAGTTTATTGTTTTTAATCAGATTATGATGCGGATATGTTGATTGGCTGTTTTTATTGGGAAATTAATAAAAATGATTTAAAAAACAGCAACAGTCATACATCAGGGTGCAATTAATTCTTCCTTACTTACATGCTGCAAAAGTAAACCTCATTTATTCACTTCTGTATATATATCCCACTGTATATATATTCCCCCCACACATTTAATCCCCACAACAATCTTGCGAGGTAGTCTAGGCTGAGAGACAGTGACCAGCCCAAGGTCCCCCTATGAACTTCTGGGTTCAAGTGGGGATTTGAAACTTGGCCTACCAAATCCCAATCCAACCACTACAACCACACTGACTCACTTGCTGGGTATAAAAATGAGCCATCCCTTCAGTTTTTAATTCAGGGGGAGCAAAACACGTGTAAGCTACCAGGAAGTGTTTAAAAAGATGCAGCACGCAAGTATAGGTGCAAATTTATGTTTTAATTTTCTCTCCCTCCCCTGCAAGGCGTTCCCTGCCCTGGGCGGTCAGTACTCACCCCAAACGGCGAGTTGAAGATGTCCGACCCATTTTCTGGGCCTCCAGGCCGAAGAGTTACATCTACCGAACTCAGGAATGGGATGAGTTTCCTAATGGCCGCTGGTGAGTGTGGCGGGGGGGGGAGGTGGATGTATCCCTCTGGAAAGATCTGGTTGAACTGGGAAGCGATGGGAGGCCTATCTGAATTAAAACAGAAGATGCCAGAAAGATGCAACGGTTATAGACCAGTTGAGGTAGTTATATATAATTTTTATTAAATTTTACATTTCAAAATATTCTTTTAAACAACCTTAAATCCGTGACATCCCTTCTTCTCTTTCCGTGGTTCATTTTGCATACCATACGCCCTGCGTATTTTACATGAACTAAACCATTCAGGAAACCATTGTTACATCCATCAAAACTTATTTACCCTGCTGAATTTATCTTAATGCTGTCAGCATTTTTAAATGAACACAAATTTCACCCATATATTCAGTAAACGTTTTCCAGTCTTCTCTAAATGTATGTTCTTCTTGTTCTCTTATTCTAGATGTTAAATCTGCAAGTTGCGCATATTTCATCAGTTTAAGTTGCCATTCTTCTTTGGGTGGGACCTCGTTTGTTTTCCATTTTGGGCTAACAAGACATGGGCTGCAGTAGTAGCCTACATAAATAGTCTTTTTTGACACCTGGGAATTTCCCTCTACTGATAGGTTAATGGAATGACTTATCTCTTGGGCCTGTTAATTTCAGCGGGGCTACCCTAAGTAAAACCTAGTTGACTGAAACCCATAGGATTGTCTCCTCCCAAGTCCAGAAAAGACCCTATACTTTCTGAGCAGATTTCCTTGTTTCGTTCTGTAGTAAATGGGCGCCCAGCCACTTGCCCCTCCCTCACCTGTCTTTGCTCTCCGGCCAGATCAGGTTTCTTGAGCAAGGCTGGCAAACCCATTTACTTTTCAGAAACAGGACAAAATAGAACTGGTAGAGCTGCCACCACTCCCTCGACCCAGGGTTACCAGAAGCCACAGCTCAAGGGAGTCAGCTGTGCTCCTTTGTTCCTGGCTAACCCCAAACTACAAGTTGCTTCCACAAGCT